AAAGGGAAAGTTTTAGGACCCAAGAAATTGTGCATAATTTATTTTTTTCTACCTAACAGTCAAAACAAACACAGTCTATATGTTTTTTTATGCTACTTAATCCACTGTCAAAATCTCATTGAAACTGGGCCAAAAAAAAAAATAAATAAATAAATAAAAAAAATGGTGATTTCACTCTCCCCTCCCTTAATAATAAAAGATTTTTGAAAGATTTTGCTTGTAAATCCCATGTAGGAGCATCAAAGATTTTTTTTAGAGATTACTGAAATAGAATGAGTGTGCATGAGTCTTTATGAAAGAAATTACAGACAAATGTTAATAACAGCCACATAGGCATCCTGTAATCCTGTAGAGTGAAAGGAAATTATGACATCAGATACTGTAGTACTAACAGTACAGGAATGCAGATGCCCTAACAAAAATTTGAAGGGGTTTGAAAGCTGTAGAAATTTATAGTAAGTGATGTATGTCAATGAAACATAACAGAATGAAGTACATTAAATAAAACATACTGTATATTGTGAAATGGGATTTCCTGAAAGAAAATTCTATACTAAAACAGATTATGAAAAACTGTAAATATAAATGAAAGCCATGTGATATATATAGCTTGAACCAAACCAGGACATTTATAAAGCTTGAATCAAACTAGGACATTTATGCAGCTTGAACCATACCAGGACATTTTTGTAAAACACTGTGATCCTATATCAGTTGTATTTGTAACCTGCTCTTAAATATACCATATTCTAGTAAACTTTTATACCTTACATATATGAATTGTTAAGTGCATGTCACCTGCATTATTGGACTCTGAGTGTAGACAAAGTGTGGCAAGAGAATAACTAATGTACTTAGTACAATACGTATAGTTATAATGAGATATGCTTGACAGGGTACCCTTAAGTAACTGCCTGAATCTTATATTTTGCCAAGGTTTTCATTTATAACTTTAGAATACCTCATTAGAGTGGCTTCAAATTTTCAAAGATGGTGAACTAAAACTAGTGTTAGGTTCATGGAACTAATGGCATATGTAACAACCCTCTGATTAATTTTATAGACTGCTCCCAATTTTTGTTTTTATGTGATAACCTGGGAAAGTCTCTTCTGACCAGCTTCAAACTCTCAACAACAGTGAATTCATTAAAAAAAAAAAAAAAAAAAAGGGGGGGGGGAAAGGGGCTGGGATTGCTATAGTCTGTAGGTACCAATCTCCCAGTTTACAGATGCTCCTCACTTTACGATGGTTCAACTTATGATATTTCGACTCTACAATGGTGATAGCGATGTGCATTCAGTAGTCATCAAACTTTGATAAGATAAACTTGTATTCATTTATTATTCAATACTGGTATTTAATTATAGTAACTATTTGTTTATTTATTCAGTACAGTAGTTATTTATTTGCTTATTTATTTATATCATATTCATATTCAACTTACAATGTTGTCAACTTAAGATGGGTTCATCAGAATGTAATCCCATTATAAGTCAAGGAATACCTTGTGTTGGATTCTGTGCAGAAACTGGAGGATATATCTGGTGGGTTTCAAACTTCTACTGGTGCGTTTTTCACAAAGACGGTTCACACTAATTTTGGTTTAAAAGATTTCCATGCAATAACTGGCAAATGTTGGTTTCCATGCAACAACTGGAGAATGCCTCTTCTGAAAAGCTTCAAACATTAAATACAGGCACATTTTGGAGACAAATTTGGAATGGTTTGGGGTTATGTAGATGACAATTTTTCAGTTTTCTTGAAGATATTTTTGGGAAAATTTAAATACCGTACTGGCTACCAAGAGACACTAAATTTGTGAATGCCTCATCCAATCAACTTCAAATCTTCAATCCTGAGAATGCAGCTTCTGAGCAGCTTAAAGTGCTAGTGCATTTTGGCATACTGGTCTGTGCATAATAATTAGAAAATACCACTTCTAATTGGCTGCAAATTTTCAAAATGGGTTATTTCAGTGAAGATTAAATTCTTTTTTTATTCCTGTGTAGGTGTCAATTTGCCATTTTATTGAAGAAACTGGGATATTAGTTTCCATATAACTTGTGAATACCTTTTCTGATTAGCTTTAAGCTTTCAGTGCTGATATTTAGCTGCACTGTCAGACTTATGCTACAATCTGTACTATTCCATGTGTGTGCATTGAGGTAGAGGGAGCTGGGCTTTTGGGATACTGGGATACCTTTCATGGTTCACACAGAGACAAACACACACTTCTAGTTTAACCCTTTCAGGGTCCAGAGGCCAAATTTCAAAGGGTGCACCAGTGTCCAAGAATTTTCAAAAAAAATTTTTGTTATTTTTTCTTATAAAATGGTAGAGAATCTTTTTCTGAAGGTAATAAAACAAAAAGTACGAAATTTGATGGAAAATTGGCGAAATTATGCTCTCGCGAATTTTGGTGTGTAAGCGATATTTACGAATCGGTGATTTTGCCGACTTTGGCTCCAATTTTAGGCCAATTACATTATTCCAGTCGACCAAATTCTTAGCTATTTCACTAGTATTACTTCTATTTTATCGATTGAGCACAAGAAATTGCCCAGCCAACTGTTTCAACTACAAAATAAAGTGATTGGAAATTGGTAATTTGGCCAATTTAACACACAGTTCAAAATATTCCAATTTCAAAATAGGGTCCAGAATAAACAATGCAGGCATTCCTGGCACTAAACTAACATTTCCTCTGCTCATTAGTTATGTTTTCAGGCTTTACAAATGAATTCCAGTTTGATTTTTTATTCACATAATGAATTTTTATTCAAACCAAAAAATAGAACATTTACTGTTAGGCAATATTGTAATAATTGTATAAATATCATCATCACATTTGTGAATGTAAATCAGACCCACCAGCTGGAATGTATTAGATGTGTAAGGTTGTTTGTTTACTCTTGAACATCGAACAAAAATTTAACATTTCTGCTACTTTGAGCTCAGTTTCAAGCCATTTCCAGTATTAAAACCAATCAAAACCATCTCTACTTCTGTAATATATCTTCCATTCTATCAAATGAGACCAAGAAATCTCAAATACAACTATAAAAAACATACAAAAAAAAAAAACACTGCAAAATCGCTACTTTAATCGAAAATCACAGTCTCAGTTTTTTCTCTCATTATACACTGTGTGCTGCAGGATTTGTTTTATGTGGTGCACACATACCACATAGATGTATTCTCTCATATCTAGGCCCAAATTTACCACTCACAGCTTATCAGTGAGAGCTGAGCTCATGGCGTAGATCTACGGTTTGGACCCTGAACGTAAAGCCGTAAATCTACGGGACGGACCCTGAAAGGGCTAAATATGAAGCTAAATGAAGAGTAATTATATGAGCCATTTACCACAAATGAACGTTTGTAATATTTTGAAGTTTTTCTCAAGGCCTTGAACACCAGTCTGTCTGGTGGAAATCCAACACACAAAACAAGCCATCCCACCCTAAGAAATTAGTTTCAGACCTGCTACCTACTGCAGTTTTGTAATGTGTATTGATCAACCATTAACTGCCCATTTTTACAGGCAAGTTCGATTGCGGGTGCGTTGCTGGCTTTAAAAATATAATTGGACTGCGGTTGGTGGTCACTTCAAATTTCGTATTTGTAGCAACAATAGGAAGTAGGTTTGAAACGAATTTTTTAGGACAGGATGGCCTGAAGCACAGCATGCTGAACTGTCACCTGACAAACCGGTTTTCAAGTCATGAAAAAATGCTTTCAACAGTAATTATACATTAAAAAAAAGTAACATAATTAAAAAAAATTCCATTAATGTGGAAATATAGCTAGAGTGTGACTGAAAAATGAACAATCATAACCTTTATATTATCTGATCAGATAATGTCTAGATAAAGGATGTTGAACCAACAGCTCGTAGGCTGCATCTGACACTACTACATGATCAGCTTATTGCAAAATTGATTATATAACCAAGTCAAAGACCTGTAAATGTTCTTTTTTTTTTTAATTTATAAGTTGTTAGCATGAATCTTTTGTGCATTTTAATTCAAGATTATTACTTCAAACCTTAATGAAAGATTTTAAGTACATATGTAAGCTTATTTATCATTTCTGTATTATAATTACAAATTAATGTTTGTACAAAAAAAAAAAAAACACACACACATACACACATGCAAAACTTTGTACCCATTTTGTTATGCTGCATGATGTGGTGGAAAGATCGTGCATTACCCAGCAAATACACAAAATTAATTTTATTATTATTCCCCATAAAAGATGGCAATTTTAGCAAATTAGTCTGCAGCCTTAAAGGTGGCATTACCTATTTAACATGAGCATCAGCTAGGAGGAGGAGGATAGTTGCTTTTCCTGGATGAGGCCTGTGTCAAGGAAAAACAACTATACTGATGGCATGCTCTGAGTCTGATAGTTCCTCTGCTCATTCCTCCATTTCCTGGAAACCCTTGCACTCCAATGGAAAAAATTCCAGTAGATACCCATGATTACCTATTACACTGAAACATGGAAAATGTTACATAGCATTCCAGTAATTAGATCTGAATCTGTCCTCCTGCAAATATGGCACCAATATCCTTAAATGACAAGAATTGCTAAATGAATTCCATGAGTGAAATTATAGCTCAAGAGAAAATAAAAAAATGTGAAAGCTGCCAAGAGTAGTATCGAAGTCGACATGAGCAAACACAAGCATGAAAAAATTTATTTATCTGAAGATGATCCAGCCTGGTTTGTTCTAAAGAAAATATAATTTCATAATACGTACAGACCCAGAATACATATAACATTATGTTAAACATATGAAACAAAACACCCTGCCCCCCAAAAATAAAATATTAAACAAAAAATTATTATTAAATTTAAAAGACTTTTGGAAGTCATTAAAACCTTATTTATCCATGCACTCTAAATAAAAATTTAACTGAAATAAAAGCTACATATACATACACCCTAATAAACCAACAAATTAATTAGCAAGAAAAGCGCACACACACACCTTGAGTAATGGAAGTGTGCAAGAGGCATGCTTATGGACATAAGTGGTGGCAGGTCATGCAGACTTCGTTCAGCTGGCCTGTAATGACACACACACACTCATGGATTATCAAAGGTTAAGTGTGCAACACCAACAGCCAACTTGAACAAAATGTTTAATGTCAACATGTACATGCTTTGCTATCATCACAAGTGCTCAGTTTAAAGAAATTCTGTGAAGACTATAAACATTGAAATTTAAATAAGGAAAATAATATTTTTTTTTTAAGTAATTGAAACAAAATAAGTCTAGTTAATTAGAGAGTGAAAATAAAACATAATAATGTGCTCATAAACTAAAGGATTAACATGAGGATTTAAATTTATGACATGCATACCCAAAGCATTAATAACTCTGCAGGAAAGTTCTAACTGAAATACAACATATTCAAATATACCTTTCCTGGATTTCAGACGAAATATAAAAAAAATTTCACACTCCGGCCACCTCCCATCAAGGTAGGATGACCCAACAAAGAAGAAAACATTTTCACTGTCACTCAATCAGTGTCTTGCCACAAGTGCTGACATTCCAGATGACTCTCCAAACTATAAGATCACCATCTCTCCTTCAGAGTGCAGCCACTATATTTCCCACCTCCAGGACTCAAGTCTGGCTAACTGGTTTCCCTGAATCCCTTCATATATGTTACCTTGCTCACACTCCAACAGCATGTCAAATCATAAAAACCACTTGTCTCTACTTACTCCTATCTAACATGCTCACAAAAGCCTGTTGAAGGTCAAAGCTACTAGTAATCAAAAACCTCCTTTAACTCCTTTCTCCAACCTTTCCTAGGATGACCCTTATCACTTCTTCCCTCTACCCCAGATTTATATGCCCTTCTAGTCATCCTATTTTTTCATCTGTCTCTAAATGTCCAAACACCTTAACAACCCCTCCTCAGACCTTTGAATAATACTTCTGGTAACCCCATACCACCACCTCGTCCCCAAATTCTCTGTATATTATTCACACCACACACTGCCCTCAAACACAACATTCCCACTGCCTCCAGTCTCCTCCTTGCTACAACATTCAAAACCTATGCTTCAAACCCATACAACAGTGTTATAAGAGTGTGGAGCATGGGTTTTGAAGGTACTCTGGTATATTCCCCTTATTGCCTTCATGGATAAAATTCTCTCTCTCCACAGATGCCTCAAGGAACCACGCCATTTTTCCCTTTGTCGGTTCTATGGTTTCCCCTTATCTCTTATAGAACCATCTGCTAACCAGTTCATTCCCAAATATCTGAACACATTTACTTCCACCATACTTCCTCCCTCCAATCTGACATTAAATCTGTCATTGTCTATATTTTTTTGATATTCTCATCACCTTGCTCTTTCCTATGTTCACTCTTAATTTCCCTTCTTTTACATACCCTTCCAATTTCATTTATCTACCTTTGCAACTTCAGAATCTCCCAAAGGAAGTGTCATGTGCAAAATGCAACTGTGACAACTTCTGCTCCTTACCAGATTCTCCATCTTTCAATTCCACACCTGCCCTAACACCTTTGAATTCACTTCTTCTGCACCTCCATCTATTAATATGTAAAACCATGGTGACATCACACATCCTTGTCTAAGGCCTACTTTTACCAGAAAATAATTTCCCTCCCTGCTACATATCTTAGTCTGAGCCTCGCTATCCACATAACAGCTCTTTACTGCTATAAGTACCCTACTACCTATTCCATACATCTACAGCAACTGCCACATTCCTCCCCAATCTACCCTATCATATGGATTTTCCAAATCCATAAATGCAATGAAAAGTTCTAACCTTTAAGTACAGTGGTACCTTGGGATACGAAATTAATTCGTTCCAGAAGGCTGTTCAAGTGCCGATACCAAACGAATTTGTTCCCATAAGGAATAATGTAAATTAGATTAATCCATTTCAGACCCCCAAATATACACTTACAAAAGCACTTACAAAAAGACACTTACATAACTGTTCAAGTTGGGAGCTGTTCATATGCTGAGGTACCACTGTATTGTTCATTTATGCGTTTTAATGTAAACACTTGATCAGCACATCCCCTACTCTTCCTCAAACTACCTTGTTCGTCTGCTACCTTTCTCTTGTCTTACCCATAATACTGCTACCTACAACAGAAGCCACTGGCCTACTGCAGTTCTTATGTTCTTTTACCTCATGTGGTACCTATATATACCCTGCATCCTTGTACTGTTTGTAATGACTTGAAGATCCTGGAGAGCGAAACACTGCCATGATAAAGTGACACAATAATTGCATATGTATCTTTTAACGTAACATATTGTTAGTAATTCTACATATATTACTATTTTTTATTATACTGGATGAAATTTGCAGATCTTTCCTGATACAATACATTGGTTTTTAAAATATTTAAAAAATAAACACAAGGAAGTTAAGGTGTTGTAAAAATGCAGAAGAATATACGTATGAAGTAAATCCCACAAGTAAAAATACTATGCCTAGGAAACATGCAAAATTAAATATAATTAGAGTGAAACCCCTTTTATCTAGACTAACTGATGTTCAAGGTCAAATTTTCTGAAACTTGTCGATCTAAGCAGAAAACTTTAAAGATCAAGCCACATATTAAAATGTTTCTAATGCCAGTCAAATAACTTTCACACATTTGTCATTTTCTAAACTATGGTTGGTGAGTTTCATCTTGTAAGACTGTGCCTGTGACCGATGATTTGTTTCAATATATGTGTATCCTACATTCAGTGCAGGTATGCCTTCTTACAAAATTATATATAAAAGAAACACTTACTGAATTAAATGGAAACAACATAAAAGGGAGAGTTTTGTTGCAGTTTGGCCTCTGTTGACAGATCAGTGATTTTGTGCATGTACAGTACTGTACTGTATTTCAAATACTTTTTGCATTCTTATTTTTATTTGTATTAATCTGCACAAAAACATTCAAATCATATAGTTCTTCCACTGCATTAGTACATTCCTGGCATGTTTCCATATCAGCCTTTAGAAGATGGTATACACAATTACTGATACCAGATGATGCAACTCACGTTTTAGGGGATCTTGCTTTGACCAGAATCCAGATTCCCAAATTGGATTCCCTTACCATACTAAATAATTTTTAGTAGCTCTGAAGCAGTTACAGTATGGAAAACTTTAAAAAAAAAAACCCTAAATATTCGAAATCTGGGTGATAACATAACCGTAAAATTTTAGGGTCTGTCTGGACCGGGACTTTGTAGGGACCAATTTATGGTTGACCCAGTTAATGATCCGGGTTGAGGTTGATGCTAAATCCTTGATGTTTCACCAGTATTTTAAAAAACAGTAAATTGAGTTTTTCCAAGGTTGTATTTTTTCGTGGCACTCTGTATTGGTAGACATTGTTTATACCTCCCGCTTATCCAAGACATTAGAAAATTTAATTTTGAAAGTTTTTATTATTATTCTTATTATTTTTTTTTAACCGTTGGCATCTCCCACCAAGGCAGGGTACCATTTCTAATTATTTTAACAAAAAATTTCCAAATCTAGTGGGGTTAGTGCCAACTGTAGTTTTAAAAAATGAAAACCATTACAGAAAAATTAGGTTAAATAAAAAAAAGTCCACTGTAGTGGTATCATTGGAAATTTATCTGTTTCTGAAAATCTGAGTTTTTCTTATATGCACTTTTTGGGCCTATAGTGTACATATAAAAAGTAACCATTGGCTTTTGGGGTAAGTAACCATTAGACAGTTGGTTCGGAAATTATGCAGAGGCCCTTTGATAGATCAAATGGCTACAAAAAAATTTTCGAATTTCGGGAAAAACCTGTTGAATACAAACTTTGCATCTGCCCACCAAAATAAATTTTCCCCGGGGAGGGTTAGCAAGCATTAGGTTATCATTATCACAAAAAAAGAAAAAAAAAATTATAAGTTTTATATTAACCCACATTATTTTTGCACTGTGCTTATTGAAGGTTTACAGTTGCATTAATTTTTTTTAAAATATATTTTTTTATTATTTTAACCCCTTTGACTGTCGAAAGGCCCAATCCTGAAGTGTTCCTGGTGTCGCAAAAATATTAAAAAAAAAAAAAAAAATTTTTTTTTCTTATGAAAATGTTAAGATTATTTTTTATTGTTTAGCCCAAAAAAAAAAAAAAAATTTCTCACGTATTCCCGAGATACAGAGGGTAAAGTTTGCTGAAAATGTCTGAAAACGGCAACGCGCGACTGCCGCTCACCCGGTAAACTTTGATTTATTGTTTCGATGGTTTTTTGTTTTTTCACTTTTTTATTTTTACATAACTTTTGTGGCCTGTGAGCCCAAATTATTGGCAATTTTTAATATACATCGTTAAATGTAACACAATTAAGCAAAAAAATGTTTCATTTAAAGTTGCTAAAAAATTGTTTACACAAACAAACAAATAAAAAATTGTTTTTTTCGATTGTTCTATAATTATATTAAACCCATATACAAACATGGACACTTTTCAGAAATGCTGCAGCTTGTGGAATTTTTTGAAACATGAGTATAAGCACAATTGGGTTTTTTCACTCCCCACACATTTAAAAAAGAGTGTTCTGCATTTTTTTTGGGGGGTTTTGTGGTATGTCCACAGACAAAAACCCCCTTCTGAGATTTTTTTTTAGGCAGTAGCAGGCGTGGTATGGGGGGTGATCACCAGGCCTCAGACGAGAGGAGTGTGTTTTATTTTGTGGGGGCTGGTCTATTGCAGGTGTTGTTCCTTGGTACTTGAATATTATTTGTTGATGAGACAAACAAAAAAACACCATATTTTTTTTTCTTGGTCTTCAACTTTAATAAAATTAAAATTCGCATGGAAAGTCAAGAAGATGGAAAAACAGTTTTAGTACCCCTTTTAACTCTTGCGAAACACAGTCAGCAAACCCAATCTGCAGTCACATTTTTCCCTAAGGGATTTGGGTTGTAATCCTCAAAGCTGGGTTTTACAAGGGGTTTATGGTCTCTCTATTTTTCTTTCCGTGTCTCCATTTTGTGTCGGTGAAAAAATGTAGCGTGTGACATACGTTTGCATGCACCAAATTTCCCCTGAGTCATTGGCAGCAAACCTGCACTTCACCTCTCGACGCCCGATCGAAAACCCAGGCATTGTTTACGATTTCACGCACTGGCCACCCCACTCTGCATGTTCCTCGCAAGAAAATCACTGGGTATGGGTTGTGTACCCGTTTTCAGTATATAAAAAAATGCCCCCTTTCCAAAATATGGTCCATCATTGTCTAAAAACATCCCCCGGATACCCAGTAACTTTCTGGTATCTTCCCCAAAGTTTTACCCCAGTGTACACAATTATATCCAAACAGACCGTTTTTCAATCACCCAGAACAAAAAAACTTTATACCAAAGCATTTCCCCTTTCTTTGGGATATACTGTTTGAATGAGAGTCTTTCCTTTTAAAAAATTTTAAAGACTCATCAATAACAAGTTCCCGAAGGGATAAAAATACCCCTACGCACTTTTTTTTCAGGTAAAACACAGTTTATTTATAAAACCCCGTCGCTTCTGTCAGGCCTTTTTTTGTTGAAAAAATGTAACATAGTAACAGTAACACAAATCTTTTCACTGGTATAATGTCACTGAAAGCGGGGGTTGAAAATCAGGGGTCTGTATGTGTTGACACTGTGTTATAAATGGGGCTAAGATTATTGTGGCAAAAAACGTACATCTCTGCCACAGTTGTGCCCTTCCCATGGTGTAGGGTGATCTTGGTGAAAAATAGTGTTTGCCATGGGGGACTCAAAGTATGTTTTGGTTTCCCTGACAATAATGTCCTCAGGGGTTCATCGAAGAACAAAAAAAGTTTCCAGTTCAGGGGCTTTTTCCCCAAAGTGTACATGTGGCCGTTTTCCACTTTGTCCTCCATCAAAGTCAGGGGGCTGGGAACAAACTTGTTCTTGTGCCAACCCCAGTGCGGTCAGCTGGGGGTTCTGGATATTGTAATTTGGTTTGCAGGCTGTGGTTGTGGTTGTTGGGGGAGTGGAGGTCAGGTGAGGCTGGTTGTAGTTTTTGCAGGTCGCACCCGGGGTTAGTGCGTGGCCCGCTGGGTGTCACATGACTCTCCCACCATCTTTCATTACCCCCGCCTGCTGCCTCATTGCATCATTGATACCCATATAAAAATATCGTCTTCTTCACTATCGGTCGGGGTTTGTGGGGCCACGGGATGTGCCCCGAGATGTACTCCTACCTCTTGGAAGAGGATTGGCACACTACAGACCGGCACGTTCGTTATACTGCCACTTCACGGGGGAAATATTACCTCACTGTCACAACTGAACTGCTTTCAATAACCTTGAAAACCTATCACTTAACTGCTCACATTGGCAAAAAGTTTCCTCTTTTGTCTGGTCAGGTGAACATGAAAAGCCGGCCAGCACCAGAGGGGGAAAGGGTTTTGGGGGCATTGGGTTTTCATCACTAATTACGTTATCCTGGGCACTTTTTTCGGTCACACCCGCTTCAAAAACCCGGGAATTTATTTTCACTGAACTTTCATTGCTGTTTGAGCTATCTTGGGAACAAAAGACCTCCAAAACCGCCCAGGGTGAGGAACTTTTTTTTTCCCTGAGGCATGGTGAAATGGACTACCAAAATGGCGTTCCCCAAGCACCGCTGGTCCCAGATTTTTTTTCACAAGGTGCACACCCACCCTGAGACCCATTCCTCTATGTAGGCCCACCACCCCTTTTCCCACTTGATTTTAAACCGTTGAACCTTTTGTGTATAGATACGTCAAACACGGTATCTCCCATGACGTATATATACGACCGCGACAGTCAAGGGGTTAAACCAGTTATCAATGAAACATTATAAAATATTTAATTGGATTTTAGGATTTTTCTTCAAGAATAATTTTTTTTTATACCAGCAGAAAGTCTATTTTTATGGGATCTACCACTTCCTTAAATAAATTATCATTTAGGGACAAAAATATACAATAGCCACTCTGAAAAGCAATTAAACTATTAAAAATTAATTACAGTTTTCACTTTGTAATATTTCATCAGCAGAGGAACTTAGGGAGAGAACACTGGAGTCATGAGAAAACAGATTAGTGAAGTGCCTTTTTTTTCTTTATATCACAGAGAAAATTTCCATAGCTTTCCATTCTAAAGGACAGTTTACTAATTACCCAATACCATAGCTTGAAAGGTGTCAAGTACAATCAGTCGGTGCCTTTAGGCAGCAGCATGGACATCTACAGTTAAAACTATTATTATAGCACAACTGAAAAAGTACATTGTCAATCAATATGTTTGAAGTGGGAAGCTCGCCTAGGCAAAGAAATTATTATTGGTTGTCTTTATCTCAGTCACATTTTGCCAGCCACAATAATGGAGACAGACAGAGCTGTAATATCTTTGCTGACCTGATCTCATAGGAAATATTCTTGAAAATGAGCCCTTACTGCCATTTCAAAAGCTTGAAGATTAGCTATAAGAATTATGGCCAAAGTATTTATATGGTGTACCCAGTAATCATTGCCCTCTACATTACAACAAATTCAGCAGCCTTTGCTATGATTTAAAGTGACACTCATTATGGCAGTGCTGTAATTAATTTACACCAAATAGTTACATACCATGCATCCACAATCATTTATGAATTCTTTAAGACGAAGACAATCCCATTGACTCAATGAACAAGGATGTCTACACAATCCTCAGAGCTGACCAAGGCTGCTTGTTTACAAGCATTCAAGTACCAAGTTTGTGATACACAATTAATTCCTTTGCTAGTCTTACACAGAATTCACTAATTATGGTGAATGTGTTTTCCTTAGGTCATCCTACTTTGGCAGGATCACCCAACCTAAAGTACTTATATGACTGACAGTACTTTTTTCATAGCTTCTCTTACCTTAACCTGTAAACGGTCCAAGCAGATCTACGTTCACATGTGTAGTGCTACAAAAGTAGATCTATGTTTTTTTTACATATTTTCAAATATAACAAAAAAAAAGTAGATCAAAGTTTTTTTACACATTTTCAAATATAAAAAAACAAAAAGAAGATCTACTTTTTTACATACTTTCAAATGTTGAAAAAACATACATATATATATATATACGTTTGGACCGTTTACGGGTTAAATAATGTAAGTTAGAGAAATTTGTTTACCTATGTAGAAGAAAAATTTACATGCAAGATACTCCGCCAGTGGTAGAGGAACAAAATTTGACTGAGGGTAAATAATCATGCAATCTTCTCTTCTCTGTCCAATCCAGGCAAGCAATAACTATGCTTCAGTAGCCCATGTAAACAAATATCAACTATGGAGTCCAACAAACTTGGAGAACCTAGTTGATATCTGAATATCATCTGCATACAATCCTAATATAAAAAAGATTGCAGCAGATCCACATTTTAACCTACAATTGACAAGGTCACGAGTTAGGTAAATCAGCAGGAAGCTTCAGGACATTCTCAAAGATGTCTAGTTATTGGTGATTTGTGGCTGTCTAAAGTCCAGATAAATGGGGTTTCAGGGTACAAAACAGTCTACACTTAATACTAACAATTAATCAAGCTTAGGTTTGCAAACAATACACTTCACAAAGACTGAAACATATTTTCAATTCAGCAATTTATTCAAGTTCAATATTAGTAAATATGTTACTCACAAAAATTCACACAAGATGCAAATCTAGTGCACCAGTTTTATGCAAGAAGAGAAAAATAACAACTTACATAGCAAAATATACAGCATGTAGGAGTTCCTTAAGAAGCTCTGAGGTAACAGGTATCCTGGGTGTGGGCCTTGGATACAGGCCAAAGCTGCTTTCACTGCCATAAGATGAACGGTGGTGATGCCCTGGCCGGTTGAATCCCTGACACAGCATTCTATAAGATAAAATACAAAAATATCAATTTGTCTGCAATCCAATGTAAAAATGAAACATTATCAGTCAAAATATTAATATTTTGTTTTCTAAAAGAGGTTACCTAGAGAAACATTAAGATTAGAGAAAACGTTTGTGCTTTCATTTGTTTAAGTATAATAAACTTTTCATACTGCAAAGTACAATTCTGAAATTGGTTTTACAATGCCTCATAATGTATAAAATTCCACATGCATGGAAAGCATGAATGCAAATAAGTTGTATGTTTTTAAAAGTGTAAAGTTTACCCCAAAATTTGTTAGCTTCCCAATTCATAGGATTTGATTGTTTCAACTAATGGGCAAACTGTTAATACATTTAATTGTTCTTGGGTATTCCATTTCTGGGGGGCTTAGAAAAAAAAAATTATATTTCATTCAAAATGTGTTCACTGGTTTACCTATACCTGGAGAGGGTTCCAAGGGTCAACGCCCCCGTGGCCCGGTCTGTGACCAGGCTTTGCCCAAACCTATTTTCTTTCAAGTCATTCTTTCTTATAATGGCAATGTTAAGCAGATTAGAATGATATTTAAATTAATATGTTCTCTTCAACCCAAAATAAGCATAAATCTGAAAAACTATACTGACACAATTTTACATTATTTATGGAATCTAGATTCAAAGGGCCTCTATACTAAAGAAATGTTTAAGAAATACAAAAGATATAACCAGAGAGAGGGTGGGAAGGGCTAAGGTGGAAGGTAGAATGAGTAGGAACTGTTCCAGGAACAGATGGAGGAAAGGGATAAAAGAGACCCGAGTTTTAGAGGACTGAGCATCTAGCAGACTTGTGTTTTATATACGTAGTGCTGGAATGTGAGAATTTGTATTACCAACCTCAATTACATTAAATGCTCAATAGGAGGTTTAAGCACATAACCCTGGAGATTAACTAAGAAATCCCCATTTCAGTGTTATCTCTGAAAGACTTTGCACATATAAAATTTTCCCTTTAAACACAAACAAATATGCAATACAGTATGTATATTAATAATTACTTGGACACAGCTTTGCAGAGGTGCATGAGTGCTATCTTGGGTAACGATGCTAAGCGAGCATTAAAGGCAACCATGATGGCAGTGGCCAGGTGATGCCTCGTTGCTGCAGTAACTGAGGTCATTTGAGTTGGTGGGCCCCAACGTACTGTGTCTGTATCACCAGCCTCCAATCTTTGTAGGGAGTCCACAGTGAATGAAGCTGGAGCTAAACTAGCAGGCTGTAATATAAGACTTAAGTGGTATTGAACATTTTTTTTTTTTTTTTTTGCATGTGACACCAGAAAAATTGCAAGGTACAAGACAAAATACAATAATACTAATACACCAATAGAAGTCTTACTTACATTTTTTTCATTCTCATTTTATCAAGAGGAAAAATATCAATTAAAAATGCAAGAAATAGCAAGCGTCACAAACCTCGTGAAAGACTGACTGCCTTGCTAGGGTAGGAAGGCGAAAAGGAGCAATCCTTGGTTGCCCTTGTTCATCTAAAACCTCCATATTGTACAGGGCCAGCAGAGCCACTTCAACACTTCCAACACCCTAAAATAGAAATGGTTTATTATAAACTGTAGAACATGACTTGATATAATAATAAATAATAATAATAATAATAATAATAATAATAATAATTAAAAAATAATTTTTCTTTTTAGGTCACCCAGCCAAGGTGGGATATGGCCGGTTAAAAAAAAAAAATAGAACATTACACACACACACACTACTATACAATATTAAAATCTTGTAAATCTAAAAAAAAAAAAAAAAAAAAAACATCAAGCTTACTTATTTAACTCATCTGCAATTAACCCTTTCAGGGTCCAAGGCCCAAATCTGGAGTCACGCACCAGTGTCCAAGAATTTAAAAAAAAAAATTTTGTTATTTTTTTCTTATGAAATCGTAGAGAATCTTTTTGTGAAGGTAATAAAACAAAAAGTACGAAATTTGGTGGAAAATTGACGAAATTATGCTCTCGCGAATTTTGATGTGTCAGCGATATTTACGAATCGGCGATTTTGCCGACTTTGACTCCCATTTTAGGCCAATTACATTATTCCAATCAACCAAATTCTTAGCTATTTCACTAGTATTACTTCTATTCTATCGATTGAGCACAAGAAATCGCCAAGTCAACTGTTTCAACTACAAAATAAAGTGATCGGAAATTGTTAATTTGGCCAATTTAACACAAAGTTCAAAATATTCCAATTTCAAAATAGGGTCCAGAATAAACAATGTAGGTATTCCTGGCACTAAACTAACATTTCCTCTGTTCATTAGTTATGTTTTGAGGCTTTACAAATAAATTCTATTTTGATTTTTTATTCACATAATGAATTTTTATTCACACCAAAAAATAGAAGATTTACTGTTATGCAATACTGTAATAATTGTATAAATATCATCACCATATTTGTGAATGTATATTAGACCCACCAGCTGACGTGTATTAGACGTGTGAGGTCGTTTGTTTACTCTTGAATATCGGCAAAAATTTAACATTTCTGCTACTTTGAGCTCAGTTTCAAGCCATTTCCAGTGCTAAAACCAATCAAAACCATCTCTATTTCTGTAATATGTCTTCCATTCTATCAAATGAGACCAAGAAATCGCAAATACAACTATAAAAAACATACGAAAAAACACTGCAAAGTTGCTGTTTTAATCGAAAAATCATGATTTCAGTTTTTTTCTCTCATTATACACAGTGTGCTGCAGGATCTGTTTTATGTGGTGCACACATACCACATAGATGTATTCTCTCATATCTAGGCCCAAATGTACCACTCACAGTTTATCAGAGTGAGCTGAGCTCATGTCCATGTTTGGACACTCACCGTAAAGCCGTAGATCTACGGGACGGACCCTGAAAGGGTTAAATAATAAAGAAAAAGATTGATGAATTGCTTTCTTGACACTATGGACCATATTGTATGCAAGTTAAATAAATACAAATCATTTAAATACCTTTTTATCACCAAAGCTGATGGATGACAAATATATATAAAGGAGACTTGGAGCAAACAAGAGAACAAACTCCCGCAGTCTTTCATCTTTACTACGTGCTAGGGCAAACAACTGCTTCACTGTGCTCTCAAACAAGTCTGGACACCTGGACAAAACAAAATTATGACACAAGCTACAATGATAACTGTCTTAAAATACAGTGGACCCCCGCTTAACGATCACCTCCCAATGCGACCAATTATGTAAGTGTATTTATGTAAGTACGTTTGTATGTGTATGTTTGGGGGTCTGAAATGGACTAATCTACTTCACAATATTCCTTATGGGAACAAATTCGGTCAGTACTGGCACCTGAACATACTTCTGGAATGAAAAAATATCGTTAACCGGGGGTCCACTGTATTATTATTCTTAGCAAGTGTTGCATTTTCACATTTGGTAAGATGTTGCCATAAGGCTGAATATGATGAACACATTCCTATAAGTAGCTACTGTACCTATTATATCTACCAATATTTTTTAAGATACTATGTACTGTATCACAATAATATAGAGCTATTTGTTCTGTATTCAAAATGTTATACAGACACCCAAAACAACTGTTTACAAATTTTAAAATTAATGACCAAAGCAACTCCCATTGCACTGGTTCCAGTACAGCCAAACCCCTAAGGCTGTGAATATCAGATTCCTTTAGGCCCTCACGAATTCAGAATTTGGGGTCGTGCATCAGGACCAAAGACAATTGGCCCCGCAAATAATTCGCAAATAAACCATACCCCCGGCCAGGATTGAACCCGCGGTCATAGAGTCTCAAAACTCCAGCCCGTCGCGTTAGCCACTAGACCAGCTAGCCACTATAAGATTCATCCAACTAGGTATATTTCTACACCATAGGAAGGTTAGCACAGGCACCACTGTGACCACAAATGCAAGTTTTTACAGACGAATCTCCAGCTAGCGTGGCCGTGACAAACTCTAGCTCAAGTCCCTTCACTGCCGTCAACATGACTCAAGAAATCATAATGACACGATTGCAATAACTACATATGTGTAACTAAAGATATTTGTGACAGGCTCTTCAGTAAAATTAATAAGAATACAATTTTTCTTTGTTCATACAACTGAATGTACAGGCCAGGAACTATTATTGTGCCTCAGCTCATTTCATAGTCCAGTCATAATTAAGTACAGTATACCCCACTCCCTTCTAGAATGCATCCCCCAAAACTGACTAACACCCAGGTATATACCTATACATTACTGCTAGGCAAACATGGGCAATACCTGTAATGAGACTAGCCCATAAGTCTCAACCTACCCAAGACTGAACCTGGGTCCTTTAGTTTTAAGGTGATAAAGCTACCACTTACTCATAAGCCACCTTTCAAATATGCAGCAAGACCTTACATAAAGAATTTGCTCCCACTTGACAGCTGGGCAGAACTCAACATTTTTATCATACAGCATTAATCGTTTTATTTTTCTCCACCTTCTATGTTTATTTTAAACATACTCAAACGATATAAACACAAGTCAGCTAAATTTCTATGCATTTAGTTTTTTTTTTCTCTATTAAAACTGTTCATTCCACATGATAACTTTTTGGAATGCCTTTATGAAAAGCTAATTCCTGAAATTTTAATAGGTAATACTTTACTTGTACAGTAATACAGTATCTAACATATTTGGAAAGCTATTATTCTGAAATTTCCAAAATTCAACACAAATTCTGAATTTAGAATGATCAAGTTTCAGAAATTTTAAATATACTCATACTAATAGTATGTAAAAAAATACATAACATACAGATGTAAGTCCAGGGACACACTGTACCTTGACTTCTCATCAAAGAGTGTGTATATTGCATGAATGAGTCTTTCTTGGTCACACTGCAAACATTCATAAATCTGCCTGCAGTCACTGACACCATCACAGTCACTAAGCCAATCCTCCAAAACAACCACCAGGCCATCCATTGTATCATACAAAGATATTTCTGAAATAAAACACACAACCTATGATTTGAACCTGAGAGGAGAAACCTTTAAAAAAAGTTAATACGTATTGTATTCCACAACATGATTCTACCACACATTATCTAAAAATATATTATACTGCACTGTATAAGTACTTTAGGACTACAAAATTTGGTCACCTTGCTTAACTAGACATCAGAACTGATGTTTTTACTTCATAGAAGGTAAGGGGGTCAAGTTATTTAATATTTCTGCATTTTTTTCAGTTTTCCTGCTACTCTCCACCTGTGTGCATGGTAAATGGGATAAAATTGTCTTGCAATTTTATCTTTGTACTGAAAGGTGCATCTCATTATTCGTTAAGATAGGTTGGCTTTTTATTGGTTTCAAATACTTTATGGGTTACATTCTGAACCAATAAAATATCATCTTTCATATACTACTGTACCAGTGCTCTACTAAACATTTATCCATTTTTTTTTTTGGGGTATGCATACTCTATTTTCTAAAACCCTATTTCTACAAATTATGTACAGTACAAGTAATGAATAAAAATAAAAATTATATTTCAGGAATGCGTAGTTCCAAAAACTTGACATGTTGGGAAATGACGCACATCAGATTTAACAATTTTCAGGGTAATTCAGAGCATAAACAATTACGTATATGAAAATAAACAAATTTATTTTATTAATTACCTTGTAGTCAAACAATGTCATGACAACGGCAGAAATAAAATGGGGTGTTGTCTCTGAACTGTATTACAGGAAGTCTTCACATTACGCTCCTAGTCAGTTCCTGAAAAATTAAAGCAATTTTTGCTACAGACAAATGTGATAAATATGATATGCATTCAGGCAGACAACATTAAAAAAATTTACAAAGAAGAAATTAAACAATCCTTGTGAACAAGCAACAGGGCTAACAAGCAATAGGGCTAGCAAGCAATAGGGCTAGCAAGCAAGAAAGCAAAAGGGAATTTATAAGTACAGCCTCTCCTCACTTAATGACTGAGTTCTGTTCCTAAGACCACATTGGTAAATGAATTCATCACAAGAGTGGAAACATTGGGTATGTTTCCTTACACCTGCTGTCCCGTTCACCTAGCAAGTAAGTAGGTACCTGGGTGTTAGTTGAATGGTGTGGGTTGCAAACTGGGGTACAAGATTGAGGACCACAATGGAAATGAGACGGATAGTCCCTTGATGATGCACTGTCTTTCTTAGGCTATCCTGGGTGGCAAATCCTCTGGGGTTAAAAATCTGAACAAAATCTTATCTCTCATGCAGATTTCCATATTATATTATATTATTAAATTTATGGAGAAGCACTAAACCAGTACTGATCAATGCAGCACCAGGGAAATGGTTAGTAATCGGGTATGATCAGAGAAAAAATGAGCATAGCTTTAATACCTTGAAACAAGAGCCTTTCACTGATATCAAGGCACTCTCCCGGAGTACACCTGGAGAGAGTTTTGGGGGTCAACGCCCCTGTGGCTCGGTCTGAGACCAGGCCTCGTGGTGGATCAAGGTCTGATCAACCAGGCTGTCACTGCTGGCCGCACGAAAAACTGACTTACGAAACACAGCCCGGCTGGTCAGGCACTGACTTTAGGTGCCTGTCCAGTGCCTTCTTGAAAACAGCCAGGGGTCTATTGTTAATCCCCCTTATGTATACTGGAGGCAGTTGAACAGTCTTGGGCCCTGGACACTTATTGTGTTCTCTCTCAGTGTACTCATGGCGCTCCTGCTTTTCATTGGGGGAATGTTGCATCTCCTGCCGAGTCTTTTGCTTCCACAGGGAGTGACTTTCATGTGCAAGTTTGGTACTAATCCCACTAGGATTTTCCAAGTGTATACTATTATCATGTATCTCTTGCCTGCATTCCAGGGAATAAAAAATCAAGGGACTTCAACTGTTCCCAGTAATTTAGGTGCCTAATCATTTTGTGTGTGCCATGAAAGTTCTTTGTACACTCTCCAGGTCAGCAATTTTGCCTGCCTTGAAGGGGGCAGTTAGTGTACAGCAGTATTCCAGCTTTGAGAAAACAAGCGATTTGAAGGTTCTCATTATCCATCTTATCATTTTCCTAGCAGATACGGTCGATACATTGTTGTGGTCTTTGAAGGCGAGATCCTCTGACATTATCACTCTCAGGTCCTTCACATTACTTGTTTCTTTCTACTGTATGGTTAGAATTTGTCGTATACCCTGATACAGTTTTAATTTCCTCTAGTTTCCCATATCTGAGTAGTTGAAATTTCTCTTTATTGAACTTCATATTGTTTTGAGCGGCCCATTTGAAGATTTGGTTGTTGTTCGCTTGGAGTCTTGCGGTGTCTTCAATGGAAGTCACTGTCATGGCAATTTGGGCGTCATCCACAAAGGAAGACACGGCTTACATCTCTGTCGATGTCAGATATGAGGATGAGGAATAGAAGGGAAGTGAGGACTGTGCCTTGATGAATACAGCTTTTCACCGTACCTGCCTCAGACTTTACTCTGTTCACTATTACTCTTTGTGTTTTATTTGTTAGGAAGTTACAGATCCATCTACCAGCTTTTCCTGTCATTCCTTTATCATGCATTTTGTGCACTATTACACCATGGTCACACTTGTCGAAAGCTTTTGCAAAGTCTGTGTATACTACATCTGTATTTTGTTTATCCTCTACAGCATCCAGGACCTTGTCAGTGGTCCAGTAGCTGGGACAAGCAGAAGCGACCTGCTCTGAACTTGTGTTGCCCTGGGTTGTGTAATTGAAGGGTATCTAGGTGGTTGGCAATCTTGCTTCTTAGAACCCTTTCAAAGATTTTTATGACACGGGATGTTAGTGCTATCAGTCTGTAGTTCTTTGCAATTGCTTTACTGCCACGTTTGTAGAGTGGGACTGTCTGTTGTTTTTAGTGAGTGTGGGATGACCCGTGTCCATGCTCCCTCTCCATAAATGCTGAAGGCACGCGACAGGGGCTTCTTGCAGTTCTTGATGAACATGGAGCTCCACGAGTCTGGACCTGGGGCAGAGTGCATGGCATGTCATTTATTGCTTTTTCAAAGTGTTAAGATAATATCCCAGATTTTTGAGATGACTAAATTTTGGGTCTCGTTCATAAAGAATTCATTTGGATTGTCGGCCCTTAGTCTGCATTGCGGTTCACTGAACACCGAGTCATATTGGGACTTTAGTATCTCACTCATTTCTTGGCTGTCATCTGTGTATGTCATATCTCGCCTAAGCAGGAGCCCAATACTGGATGTTGTTTTTCCCTTAGAATTGGCATAAGAGAAGTAGTATTTTGTTTTTGTTTTTAATTTCCTTTATGGCTTCTAGTTCTTCCTGCGATTTTTGTCTTTGTAGGATTCCTTCAGCTCAAGTTCGATATTTGCAATTTCACTGGCCAGTGCCTCCCTTCGTATTTCAGATATATTGGCCACTCTCAGCCGCTCTGTGGCTCTTCACTTTCGTCTGTATAGGGAGCATCTCTCTCTTTCTAGTTTACATCTTCTCTTTCTTTTCCTTAATGGAATGTGCCTTGAGCAGATCTCAAGAGCCACAGAGTTCATTTTTTCTAGGCAAAAGTTCGGATCCGTGTTGTTTAGGATCTCTTCCAGCTTGTTTCGTTTAGGACATGGGTGACTTGTTCCCACTGTATGTTTTTGTTATTGAAGTTGAATTTTGTGAAGACACCCTCATGACTGATCAATGGAAAATACATGGTCCCCAACGGAAAATACATGGTCCCCAACGGAAAATACATGGTCCCCAACGGAAAATACATGGTCCCCAACGGAAAATACATGGTCCCCAACGGAAAATACATGGTCCCCAACGGAAAATACATGGTCCCCAATGAAAATACATGGTCCCCAACGGAAAATACATGGTCCCCAACGGAAAAATACATGGTCCCCAATGGAAAATACATGGTCCCCAACGGAAAATACATGGTCCCCAACGGAAAATACATGGTCCCCAACGGAAAATACATGGTCCCCAACGGAAAATACATGGTCCCCAACGGAAAATACATGGTCCCCAATGGAAAATACATGGTCCCCAACGGAAAATACATGGTCCCCAACGGAAAATACATGGTCCCCAAACGGAAATACATGGTCCCCAACGGAAAATACATGGTCCCCAACGGAAAATACATGGTCCCCAACGGAAAATACATGGTCCCCAATGGAAAATACATGGTCCCCAACAGAAAATAGAAGGTCCCCAACAGAAAATATATGGTCCCCAATAGAAAATATATGGTCCCCAACAGAAAATATATGGTCCCCAACAGAAAATATATGGTCCCCAACAGAAAATATATGGTCCCCAATAGAAAATAAGTCACTGACTTTTTTTGGGGTTATCCTAGGTAATTTACTCATACGTTAAACCATGTATGATAATTATACCTATGTGTACCTGTATGTCAATAAACTTACTTGCTATCTAATTTTCAATGCGCTTTTTCAATCACATTTACGGAAAAATTGCAGTAAATAGTAGAGGAACTGACTAATGATTACTATTGTTATAATTACGAGAAACTAAACCCGCAGGGGGCTATACAGTGCTCGGGGAATGGAAGATAGCCAGGGCAGCAGCTCCATATCCTTGGAACAAGAGTGACATGCAAATAGAAAACTGAAGCAAGAGTGAAAGTGACGAAGTGTAAAAAAAAAAAAAATACACTGTTATGAACATTCATTATACAAAACTAGCAGAAATCACCACAGTCTCAAAACCACGTTAAAATACACCCGAAAAAAAAATATATATCCAATGACACCCAAAAAAAACAATACTTATTTCCCATAGTAATATAATACAGCAACACTCCCACCCAGACCTATACACCCTCAAAAAAACAGCAAAAAAGCCCCATAAATCCCCCCCACAGGCCCATGAAATAAACTTATGCCACTGTTAAACGGACAAGCGAGTGAATATTACCAGAGAGAAGACCTGACTCACCAGATAATGTCAATTTTGTGTCATTGAGTTGCACCCACGTCGTCTGCCATATTGACACTGCCAACCATGGTGCCTCTGCTGCCTTCACTCACTCACACACACCCACACACTGTATATATGTAATAATAATGTCTTTAATTCTACAAGTACATGTACATGGTATACATATCTGACATCAATGATGTGCTATTATAAAGCCCCTTAAAGGACCCCAATGGAAATAAGTCACTCTGACTTTTTTGGGTTATCCTAGGTTCTCTACACATATGTTGCTATGTATGATAATCTATGTAAGTGTATTTGTGTAGAAGTTTATTCAGATTATACATAGCAGCATATGTGTAGAGAACCTAGGATTATGTGTAGAGAACCTAGGATTGTGTAGAGAACCTAGGATTGTGTAGAGAACCTAGGATTGTGTAGAGAACCTAGGATTGTGTAGAGAACCTAGGATTACGTGTAGAGAACCTAGGATTATGTGTAGAGAACCTAGGATTGTGTAGAGAACCTAGGATTACGTGTAGAGAACCTAGATTATGTGTAAGAACCTAGATTGTGTAGAGAACCTAGGATTGTGTAGAGAACCTAGGATTGTGTAGAGAACCTAGGATTACGTGTAGAGAACCTAGGATTGTGTAGAGAACCTAGGATTATGTGTAGAGAACCTAGGATTGTGTAGAGAACCTAGGATTACGTGTAGAGAACCTAGGATTGTGTAGAGAACCTAGGATTGTGTAGAGAACCTAGGATTGTGTAGAGAACGTGATTAAACTTACTTGACCATTTCGGGCAAATTAGGTCAATTTTGTCCCAGGATGCGACCCATACCCAGGTATCTATTTTACTGATGTGGTAAATATGGACAGCAGGTGTCTTGTGGGCACACGTCCTGATTATTATAATCATGGGGAAAGCGCTAAACCCGTAGGATTATACAGTGCCTGAGGGGGTGTGTGGAAGGTATTCAGGTTTACTTCAGGGAACTGGAGCACAGATCCAATTCCCCAGATCAAGAGCCCCTCACTAGCATCAAGGAACCTTCCTTGAGGGGACACGTCCTGATGTTTTCCAGCCGTATGGGGGTCGATCCCTGGACCTCAGTATGTGAGCTGAGTGCACCAGCAGTCGAGCTGAGTTTATTCAAGTACAGGTGTACGTAAATAGTTACATAAATTGTTATACATGGCAGCTATGTGCAGGTTACCTAGGATAACGTAATTATGTGACTTATTTCCACTGGGGTCCTTGAAGAGGGGGAAAGAAGGTAGGAATGAAGGACGGAAGAGAGAAAAGAAAAAAAAAGGACAAATAGAATGAAAGAAGACAGGGAGGGGGGAAGAAAGGAAGGAATAAGTAAGTTTATTAAGGTATAGGTATACATAAGTACAATTATCATACATAATGTAAATTACCTAGGATAATGCGCCAAGAGTCAGTGACATATTTCCAGAAGGAAGGAAAGAAGGAAGGATGGGAAGAAGGAAAGAAGGGAAGAATAGTGAGACTAGCAACCATGGTGTCTCATGTATGGCTTCACTGAGGCTCCAGCAACACATCAGAACCAAATGTTTGGAATATTAACAATTACGGGTTTACGATTTTTACACAAGTTTGTGGATGATTTAGTCTTACAACAGTCCAATATCAAGCTGGTTTTGTCATGTACATACGTCTTATATTGTGGAAATGTAAGAAACGTAACCTAACTTAATGAACCAAACCTAAAATAATCTAACGCAACTTAATACCAACCTTGCACACGAAAATCACTCCTTATTAAAGCAAAAGACTCGGTAGACGATGCAACATCCCCCCAATGAAAAGTAGGGGTGTCACTAGAACGTTAAGAGACAACACAATAAGTGTCAGGGGCCCAAGACTGTTCAACTGCCTCCCAGCATACATAAGGGGGATTACCAATAGACCCCTGGCTGTCTTCAAGCTGGCACTGGACAAGCACCTAAAGTCGGTACCTGACCAGCCGGGCTGTGGCTCGTACGTTGGATTGCGTGCAGCCAGCAGTAACAGCCTGGTTGATCAGGCCCTGATCCACCATGATGCCTGGTCACAGACCGGGCCGCGGGGGCGTTGACCCCCGGAACTCTCTCCAGGTAGATATGGGACTGGAGTTGACCTGGAGTTTACCTGGAGAGAGTTCCGGGGGTCAACGCCCCCGCGGCCCGGTCTGTGACCAGGCCTCCTGGTGGATCAGAGCCTGATCAACCAGGCTGTTACTGCTGGCTGCACGCAAACCAACGTACGAGCCACAGCCCGGCTGGTCAGGAACCGACTTTAGGTGCTTGTCCAGTGCCAGCTTGAAGACTGCCAGGGGTCTGTTGGTAATCCCCCTTATGTATGCTGGGAGGCAGATGAACAGTCTCGGGCCCCTGACACTTATTGTATGGTCTCTTAACGTGCTAGTGACACCCCTGCTTTTCATTGGGGGGATGTTGCATCGTCTGCCAAGTCTTTTGCTTTCGTAGTGAGTGATTTTCGTGTGCAAGTTCGGTACTAGTCCGTCTAGGATTTTCCAGGTGTATATAATCATGTATCTCTCCCGCATGCGTTCCAGGGAATACAGGTTCAGGAACCTCAAGCGCTCCCAGTAATTGAGGTGTTTTTATCTCCGTTATGCGCGCCGTGAAGGTTCTCTGTACATTTTCTAGGTCAGCAATTTCACCTGCCTTGAAAGGTGCTGTTAGTGTGCAGCAATATTCCAGCCTAGATAGAACAAGTGACTTGAAGAGTGTCATCATGGGCTTGGCCTCCCTAGTTTTGAAGGTTCTCATTATCCATCCTGTCATTTTTCTAGCAGATGCGATTGATACAATGTTATGGTCCTTGAAGGTGAAATCCTCCGACATGATCACTCCCAGGTCTTTGACGTTGGTGTTTAGCTCTATTTGGTGGCCAGAATTTGTTTTGTACTCTGATGAAGATTTAATTTCCTCGTGTTTACCATATCTGAGTAATTGAAATTTCTCATCGTTGAACTTCATATTGTTTTCTGCAGCCCACTGAAAGATTTGGTTGATGTCCGCCTGGAGCCTTGCAGTGTCTGCAATGGAAGACACTGTCATGCAGATTCGGGTGTCATCTGCAAAGGAAGACACGGTGCTGTGGCTGACATCCTTGTCTATGTTGGATATGAGGATGAGGAACAAGATGGGAGTGAGTACTGTGCCTTGTGGAACAGAGCTTTTCACCGTAGCTGCCTCGACTTTACTCTGTTGACTACTACTCTCTGTGTTCTGTTAGTGAGGAAATTATAGATCCATCGACCGACTTTTCCTGTTATTCCTTTAGCACGCATTTTGTGCGCTATTACGCCATGGTCACACTTGTCGAAGGCTTTTGCAAAGTCTGTATATATTACATCTGCATTCTTTTTGTCTTCTAGTGCATCTAGGACCTTGTCGTAGTGATCCAATAGTTGAGACAGACAGGAGCGACCTGTTTTAAACCCATGTTGCCCTGGGTTGTGTAACTGATGGGTTTCTAGATGGGTGGTGATCTTGCTTCTTAGGACCCTTTCAAAGATTTTTATGATATGGGATTTTAGTGCTATCGGTCTGTAGTTCTTTGCTGTTGCTTTACTGCCCCCTTTGTGGAGTGGGGCTATGTCTGTTGTTTTTAGTAACTGTGGGACGACCCCCGTGTCCATGCTCCCTCTCCATAGGATGGTAAAGGCTCGTGATAGGGGCTTCTTGCAGTTCTTGATGAACACGGAGTTCCATGAGTCTGGCCCTGGAGCAGAGTGCATGGGCATGTCATTTATCGCCTGTTCGAAGTCATTTGGCGTCAGGATAACATCGGATAGGCTTGTGTTAACCAAATTCTGCCTGAGGGCACTGTTACATCACTATAAGAATGATAGTCACCTCAATCATTACTCTTGCTTCATATAGCTAATGTACACGATGCAATATGGAGTATAATCTGAAGGGAGAAAAATGGTATTTTATTACCACCTGGAGTTTACCTGGAGAGAGTTCCGGGGGTCAACGCTCCCCGCGGCCCGGTCTGTGACCAGGCCTCCTGGTGAATCAGAGCCTGATCAACCAGGCTGTTACTGCTGGCTGCACGCAAACCAACGTACGAGCCACAGCCCGGCTGGTCAGAAAGACATTGGTCATACCTGGGTTGCAATTTCATCAATACAATCAATACATTCATCTATCCGACGCAAAATGTGGCTACAATCATAAGAATTCAGATATGCTATTATTAACCATGAAGTGTTTTGTCATTTCCTGTACAGTTTCCTTTGAGGTGCTTCTGAAAAAAATAAGAAAAATATTATTCATGCAACCACTTAAAAGTCCCTTTTGGGATACCTGGAATATGTTCCGGGGGTCACCGCCCCCGAGGACCAGTCCCTGACCAGGCCTCGTGGTGGATCAGGGCCTGATCAACCAGGCTGTTACTGTCGGTCGCACGCAGACCAACGTACAAGCATGCTATATTCAGATTTCAGACTATTAAAAGTAAAATAAGATAATGAGGAAAGGGAGTCAGTTACAGTTAACTGTCCAAGGTCGTAGTTTACACAAGCTTGAGAACAAGCATGACAACAAGCTTGACAACAAGCTTGACAACAAGCATGACAACAGCTCAGTTTGTAAGATGGAGGTCAGATAAGATTTCATTCGGATTTTTAACCCCGGAGGGATAGCCACCTAGGATAACCCAAGAAAGTCAGTGCGTCATCGAGGACTAACTTATTTCCACTGGGTCCTCAAATCTTGTCCCCCAGGATGCGACCCACACCAGTCGACTAACACCCAGGTACCTATTTGCTTCTAGGTGAACAGGACAACAGGTGTAAGGAAACGTGTCAAAATGTTTCCACCAGCCGGGAATCGAACCCGGACCTTCCGTGTGTGAAGCGGGAGCTTTTAGCCACCAGGCCACCAGTTATTAATTCTAATACACCTTTGTATTATAATACCATCAGGCTGGATTACGATAACAGCAGTTCCCTCTCTCCCACTGTCAGCGTTAAGGAGCCATCAGTATAGTCAGTCATTTTTTTCTGCAGGTCTTAAATTTATTCCACAGCACTGAGTTAAAAAGATGTCGAAGACGAGGATTTTGAATGATTAGTTACTT